CGTAGTACGAAATTGGTTATGTATACTATGTATGCATTAAATAATTTGTTTTAGTTATTTTGTTCAAATAGACGATATATCATGCGTTTAATAATGATGTACGCAAAATCCTATACAATAAGGGTGTACAATATACCGAAGTACGAGATTGATTCTGCAATTAGATAATTTTTTAAGTTATTTGTTCTCATAATTTGGTCGATACGAATAGATAGTGTACATCATGCTACACACTACACATTGGTGTATGCGAGAGTCTGTACACATACAAAATTGGTTATACATTAGATATTTTTTTGGTTATTTTGTTCGAATAGAAAGTACATCATGCGTTTAATTGTGTACAACATTGATGTACGCAACATCTTGTACAATCATGGTGTACAGTCTAGCGAAATACGAGATTGATTATGCAATTTTTTAAAGTTATTTGTGTACAGTATGCAATTCGTGTACACCACCGATGTGCTGAATACTTCGATTAAGAATTAGATAGTGCTACACACTAAACATTGGTGTATCGAATTGGGGTGTATAGTACAGCATAGTATGAAATTGGTTATGTATGCACTAAATAATTTTTTTAAGTTATTTTGTTCAAATTGAAATTACAGCATTCGTTTTGTTGTGTACACCATTGGTGTACGTGAAATCATGTACAATCATGTTGTACAGTATATCGAAGTACGTGATCCATTCTGCAGTTACAAATTTTTAAGTTATTTGTTCTCATAATTTGGTCAATACGAATAGAAAGTGTACATAATGCTTTTAATTATGTATTGGATTTCGTGATACAAATAGATAGTGTACATCATACTACACACTACACATTGGTGTACGCGGGAGTCTATACACATACGAAATTGGTTATGCATTAGACAATTTTTTTAGTTATTTTGTTCGAATAGAAAGTACGACATACATTTAATTGTGTACACCATTGGTGGCCAGCAGAGAAGACATCATCATTAAGATAATAGTCAATGGGATAGAATGTACCTTGGACCGTTGGAGGGACCGATGATTGAGCGTTGGGAGGAATAATGGGATCGCGATGTTTATCTTTATTACAACGTACGTGATACCTAACAAAATTCTTTAGTTTGATGGACTTAACTTTTTCACGTTGTCCTTTCCCAAGGACATGCTGTATGTTGACTTGTTCTGTTTCTGTAGGAATATGCTTTATTTTTGCAGGAACGACTTCCGTATCTACTGCTTCAGGCACTATCTCTGCAACCTGAGTATTCCCTCTATTGTGTATATAACTGTATAGAGGATCTCCAAACTCAATCGTAGGTACAACAGGAATGACCGTGGGGATATCATCCTTTAAGGTCTCCAACTCATACGGGAATTATGATTCATTGAAGACAACATCCCGAGAAACAAAGAACTCGTTTCTGTCAAGATCATACAATCGCCAACTTTTATTTCCGAAAGGATAGCCTACAAACACAAATTTACTGCTTTGTTGAGCAAACTTACACAAATTTACTGCTTTGTTGAGCAAACTTATTGTTAGAGGTGGGCTTAGCACACTCTTTATCAGGCCCATAGAGAATTGAAATCGGCCAATTTAAGGAAAGCCCTATATTTCTGGCAAAATGAGTAGTATTAACGAGGGTAACGTTGAAAGGAGATCAGGTCAGGATCAAGTAATTAATGAAGATAGCAATCAGGGGAGATCGGATTGGGGAAGAAAAGGAAAATTTTACCTTCTTGCTCCGATCTCAACAGATCAAGCAGTTAATGGAGATTGGACGAGAGTAATATAAAGGGGAAGATCCCCATTTATATCGCTTTCCACCTGCAAAAAACCTCAGAGCAAATTCAGTCAAAGTTCTTTATCTCGTTTACTTGTTTTTCGGTTAATCAGAACTTTCATTCCATTAACCGATCTCTGGTATCTTTGGACTCCGGCCAATCATTAATAAGAAAAAAACTATTTTTCCCCCATAACTCTTAAGTTATTTCATTGAGTGACTTTTGAGCATCTACACTTATCCTTGGAACGTGAATGTCGATGAACAAAGCACAAGCACCCAAATGTCTTCATATGTGTAGAAGATGGAGGCTCACTGAACAGCACTTCATACAGTGTCTTGCCTTTCAACACACACACTTGAAGGTGTACTATTAATCAAGTGAGATGCAGCAAGAACACTTTCTCCCCAAAACTTGATCGGTAAATTGGCCTAAGATAGTAGCAACAGCGCAACATACCCTTTCATTCTGTTGTAAAGTGTAGACGCAAGAAGTCTAATGTAAGATGCCATTGTCCGTAAAGTACTTCGATAAGCCAATGAACTCTGCTCCATTATCACTATGCATGATTTTAACTTGCTTTCCAAACTGTTGAGACATCATAGCACATAATGATGACACAACTGTTTTTACTTTGCTTTTCTCAAGCAACAAATAGATCCAAACAGCATGAGAGTAGTCATCAACAAGAGTGACAAAGTATACCATAAGAAGAAAGAACACGATATGGTCCCCAAATATCAGATCACAGTGAACAAGATTAAAACAATACAAAGCTTTATTTAAACTCTCACATCCTCCAAATTTATCAGAAGGATGCTTAACACCAGCAAGAAAAGGTAAAAAAACATCAAAGCAACCCGTTTGTTTTAATAACTTAGCAACTGAAAGCAATGTGCAATTTAGATTAGGTACTAAAAGGACATTATGTAACACGATCTTGTCAGGCAAGATCAAAAAAATGCACTGTGTTGCATACACTCTACTCCCGTCCGCAAACGAAACATGACATGGTAATATATATTGTAATTTAGTAAGGATTTGCCTTTCACCCATCATATGGTGTGAAGCCTCTGTATCAAATATAACTTCGTCGATCTGAGAATTACCATTCAAACGATCCAGCACAGTAGACGGTTTTTGTTGCTCATTCAGTTGAGACAAAGCAGCCCACTGCTCAACAGTAAATGAAAGAAACGCTCCTATTTGTGAGGGAGCCTGAGCTGCGTTTAACCGATACTGCTGTTGGGATTGTTGCTGTGAGAAGCCACCACGTCCACGACCGAAAGAATATCCTCCTCTGCCACGCGAGCTATTTCCACGGCCACCTTTGTCCCTGTTTTGATTCTTCTCAAGCCACCAATCTGGGAATCCAACAAGCTGCCAGCAATCCTTCTTGTCATGTCCACTGCGACCTCAATGAGAACATACTGCAACGGAATCAGTACGAGCAACAGCTGCAGTCATCGCCAATGAAACCAACTGCTCCGTGCTTAACGTCATTCAGAATGTAAGAATGAACGGGTTCGCTTTGACCGTTAAGAGTAGGTAACCCGTTCCCTGTGTCTCGAGAATAGTAGAAATTAATGAAAAAAGAATAGTTGCATGAGATGCACTTTAACGTCACTTCTCCAAAACCACTTTCTGATAGACGGTGTTGAGTTCAGGAAGTGCTTCGAAGACAATAATATTAGTAACCACATTTCCAAACCGAGCATCATCTAATTCCATAAGAAACTGGTGAACACGTTCTTCTTCATAATCACGAAGAAAATTCTCTCGCCAAGCGCAAGTACAACGGGAAGAGGCTTTTGTAGTTAAGTAATTCTTTCCAATTGAGTACCATTTCAATAGATCACTCTATAGCTTGTGTGCGTCGGAAGTAAGCGTGACTGTTGATCTGATCTTGGGAGAAATTAAGGCACAAATCCACCCAACAATCATGAAATTCACTGTATTCCATGAATGAGAGTACTGTTGATAAAGTCGGACTTCCTCTTAGTCGGAAGAGCATTTTCTAGCTCCGATGTCCACTTGGCATAATTGTCACCGGTTAACTGAACTGGGGACATTGTCGGATGGCCACAATTCATAAGGTGACACTACCTTCAGCTCCTCTGCAATCTAGTCTTTCAATGATTTTGGGTCTGGTAAGCCGCAGGACATGGTAAAACCCGAAGAAACAAACGAAGGAGATAACAAAAAAAAAAATGGAAAAAAACGAAAAGAGGAAAGAGAGAACGTAAAAGACTTTTTTTTTAAAGGTTTTTAGTTGATATAGCTGTATGCACTCGATGATCATATTGCAATCACCTTATATATACACTTACAGATAAGGTTAATATATACGCATGATTTCTAAATAATATATGCAACCAATACTGAACTATTATTTTTATGTGGTATATTATATAAACTAAATTTAGTATATTTGTTTATCTTGTAAACATATAAACCGACTAAAAATCGTGTAGGTTCCGGTTAGGCATTCCAAACGTAAAGTTTTGCTAACTTTTTTATTTTGAACATTTCTCAACGTAAGAGAAAAAAAAAACAATATAGACTGGTGGTTAATTAAAAAAAATAATTTTGTTAAAATAGAAGTACACTTAATTCTAGAAAACAGTAATAGATTATGTATAGGATAGATAAATAAAATCAGAGTAATTTCTTGAATTTCTACTTATATATGGTTAAATTTATAAGATTAATTTCGTAAATACATGTTTGTAAAAGTTTATATGTCGTTTGTGATTAATCGAATGAATATGTATTTTCTTCTAATTTGAATATAAGATATTCTTTAATGTTTTTGTTTTGATCATTATAACTTTTATTTTGATTATTTGTGTAACTTGAATTTTGACCAAAATGTATTGATACACATGTATGTTAAATTTTTATTATTTATATACACATGTATGTGAAATTTTTATTATTTATAAACTATAATATTTTATGTGATATATTATAAATTTAATATAGATGTGTATCTTGTAAACATTTAAATTGCTTAAAAGTCGTCTAGATTTTAATTAGGCATTTTTAAGGGTTAGACCGATCATCTAACTTTTTTTTCAATATTGCTATTTAGTAAGAGAAAAGAAAAACAAGATCAACTAGTGGCTGATTTAAAAATAATAGTTTCATTTAAAACAGAAATACATTTAATTATGTAAAACAGTAATAGATTAACTGAGGCCATTTTTCATACAAAGTAAGACGTAGGTTTATGGATTATGTAGAGGATTGGGACCTCCTGGGACCAATCTATTGACTTGAATTAATTGATGATTTTTCAGCAAAAGATGAGGAGGAGTCTGAGGACTCTCTATAGGATTATGTAGAGGATTGGGACCTCCTGGGACCAATCTATTGACTTCAATCAAATGACGATTTTGGGGAGAAAGATGAGGAGGAGTCGGACTCTCTACAGGATCGGGACCTCCTGGGACCAATCTGTTGACTTCAATCAAATGACGATTTTGTGGAGAAAGATGAGGAGGAGTCGGACTCTCTATAGGATCGGGACCTCCTGGGACCAATCTCTTAACTCCAATCGAAGATGAATCTTCATGAATAACTGCCATTGATGATGTCATTAGGAACAAACATAGAGTTATGATTATCATCACAGAACCACATTTCAACTCTTTCATCCTCTCTCTCTTTCTTAAATTCTTCTTGAATATTGTTTTGATTACTCTCTTTTCATTTTTATAGTGGAATTTTGATGCTAACTAAGTACAGCTAGTCATGTAGAGATAATAATGAATTTATTAGAAGATATGTATTAGGATTTGATTGGTTATTGCTATAGATGCTGTGCACATTAATATTTATGTTTACAGCTTTAAATCAAATTAATCATGCTTTATAAACATTATATTTCATTTATTTACTCACATAATTTTATGTTTTTCAAGTTTTACAACTCTATAACTTTAGTTTTTTGCTGTAGAAATAAAATTGTAAGTTTTTTACTATGACTGTAGATTTTATTCTATATATTTTAGTGTTGTGAGATTTTTAATATTTCAAAACCAAAATTTAGTACTTTACATATTTTGATTTGTACAGCCAAAAAAAATAAAAAAGAAAAGAAAGATCTGTAGCTTTAAAAAATCTGTATAAAGCATGAATGGAAAAATTTAATGCTTTAAAAATATTATAGTTGTATACAGATTCTACAGTATTTACCAATCAACCTCAATTACAGCTACATCAAAAAATACTTACAATCATATTTTTGCAGCAAAAACATAAAGCTACAGCTATTACCAACTAGACTCTTAGAGTTCTTATCAGAATTTAATTAGGGGAATAAGTTGTATATTTTGATTTTTTTCTTGAATATTGTTTTGATTACTCTCTTTTCATTTTTATAGTGGAATTTTGATGCTAATCAAGGAAAGCTAGTAATGTAGAGATAATAATGATTTTACTAGGTTTTGGATCCACACTTTGGGCATGATATATTTATATATTTTTAAAAAACTTTAAAGTTAAGATTTTAATTTGCTCTGAGAGTGGGTGATAATTTTTTTTTCATCTCATCTCATTTTGTTTTTTTTTTCGGGTCGAATCATCTCATCTCATCTCATTTATGAGGCAAAGATAAAATATATATATATTTTAAATCTGATGTTAGATTCTTTTTTTAGACAAAATTATATTTGTGGATATAAAAATTTGCGATGCATTAAGCGTTTTTTTTTTGTATAGATGTATGAAATAGTTTACTAACCCGTCATGACTCATGCTGGTTGGAAACAATTTTTTTTTTTTTTTTACATTTTGTATGGAAAAATATAGGGTTTTTTTGTTCTATAACCATATTTGGAAAACAATCAAAGAATATAGCCATACTGTTTGAAAAATTAGTAAATTAACCATAGCCCACAATCAATTATCGAAAATAGCCTTGTACTATACTATATTATATACTATACTATATATTAATTTATGGAATAGCTCTATTTGATATAGTATTTATAAAAAAACAAATTTGTAAAGAGGAAGGAATGGAAGAAGACGAGAGAGGAAGGGAGGAGAGGGAAGGGGAAGGGAAATGGAGGAGGGGAGATGAGATGAGCGTAGGTGAGCAGAGGAGACTGAAGGGGGAAAAGATGAAAGGAGAAGAGAAGATCAGAGGAGAAAGGAATAAGAGGAAAAAAACAAAAGGATAATTTTGTATATATTGTACAATATACAAAGAATATTATAACACTTAGTTTGTTATGGTTATTTGATTAATTTAGCTTCAAAATATGGTCATATCACCCAATTTTCCCAAAAATATAATTGTAAGGTTTAAAATGTGTTGATAATTTTAAGTCTACACTATAACCTGTCTGTGACAATTTTGTTTGTATGAAAAAATATATATGTGCAAAGTTTTAGGTGTGTTGACAATAGATTATAATCGTTTGTAACAACTTTTTTTACCAAAAAATATATCTATGCAAGGTTTGAGATGTGTTGATAATTTAAGTTTAAATTCCAATCCCTTTGTGATTAATTTTTTTGTAAGGAAAAATATATTTGTGTAAGGTTTGAGATGTGTAAATAATTTTAAGACTAGATTCTAACCTGCTAGTGATAAATTTTGTTTTTGTTTGGAAAATATATTTTTGTAAGATTTGAGATGTATTGATAATTTTAAGTTTAAATTCTAATCAGCTCTTTTTTTTTGAAAAAATATATTTTCATAAGGTCAAAATATGGAGAAACTGTGGCTTTATCCGTTGTTAGAGAAGAGAAACTTTCTGTGTTAGTACAACGCCCAAAGACATCTAAAAAAGAGATTTGGGTAATGATGAGACCAAAGCTATGTCGTGGAACAAGGTTTTCACAGTGGACGTATCTCGATATACTTGTAGACTTAGCGAGAGTTCTTTTTTGGTCGATGAGGAGAAGAAAGTCCTCTTGTGTTGTGATAGATGGACCCAGTACGAATCCATGACGGACAAAGACGCTGTATACGTTGTTGGGGAAGACAACAAAGTCACACCAGTGTTTAATGGAGCTGTTGGTTAGCCGTCACGTTTGTTTAATTTTGTTCCAAGTTTGATTTAAATCCAGTGACTCAATTAGCTACATGGAACCCTTTTCTTTTTTAATTGTATTTTTTTTGTTCATGACATTCTCTTTAGTATTAGTTGTCTTCATTTTTTTGTTGTTGTTGAGTTTTAGTAATAATCAAATTTAGAAAATATAAATCATATCTACATTATAAAAGATGGTTAACTTGAATGTCACGTCAGCATTGGAGAGAGTAACACTTGTCCTCATATCTATATTATTATATACAAAATAAAAAAAAAAAACTAAAAAAACCCCGATGATATCCACCACGTCTCTCTTCTGATCAAATTTTTGCTTCATTTCAATAATACACATGACAATAGATCATAACACCATCATCTTCTTCTACGAAAAATTCTCAGCTTTTTCAGGTGAAAATAACCAAGCACCATCATCTTCGGAACCCAAAAAAAAACCCAGGACTCTCCAATTCAACTCACCATGAGACACCTCCCCTTCGCATTTTCTAGATTGGGGCTTCCGATGCGACTTATTCCTGAAGCTCTGGCGCATCTCCGGTCCTCTCTTCGGATGCAATCTAAGAAATCAGCTTCAGATCAATCTTCAATGACTCAAAACCCTTTGATTTTGGTTTATTGAATCATACCTCCCTGGCTCTCTTTTGCAAATAATCATAGTCTTCTTCTTCACATACTGCAGCTTCTCCGGCAAACGGACAGACCCATTTAAATTGATAGATAAACTCCGGTGATGCTTCAATACCTCAATCCAGTGCCTATGCTTGACAATTCAGTGCCTATGCTTTACAATTCAGTGCCTGTGAAAGACCAAAAAGGCTCCACATTGAGGGGTTTGGGCTTTCGATGAACCTACAATCGACTGTTCTCAGATGCAAAATGGTAACTGAAATTCTCGCAATCTGGATATCGGATGTTCTTGTTCAAGTATTGTTCTGTTAAAGATGATGTTTTTAAATTTGTTCGCAGCGAGGATATTCAATTAAAACAGCAAAAGGTGTTATTGAAGATGGAGACAAAAGTCTCAGAATCAACAACCCACACTTGAAAGATGTTAGTTTGGGTTCACTCACTTTACGACTGTATTGGAGAGCTCCACATTCATCCCAATAGTGAGGCTAGTTGGTTCAATGTTTTCATGAGGATATCAACTGTAATGTTATCTGCAAGAGTATTGGATTCATATAAAACCAATTGTCTTTTCTTAGTTTTCTATACGAATATAAGATGGTCAACAAGAAATCTAGGGAGGTTAACTTTAACTTTAAGTGGGTATATGGAAGACAATGTTTACAGAATGGATGGAAACAAACAAACGTTGTCCAATAGCACAAACCCTCACTTTCAGTGTTTGTTTGGAATTCATCAGATAAAGTATGGAGCTTAAGGACGAGAGTTAATACCATTGGTAGAGTTGTTAACATTCATCCAGCATCAGGGGATCTATATTATTTAAGGCTTCTAATTAATCACGTCAAAAGACCAACCAGCTACAAGAGCATTCACACAGTTGATAATGTTACATATGAAAGAAATAAGGAAGCTTGTCATGCAATGGGTTTATTAGATGGAGACAAAGAGTGGCATGAAGCAATGGAGGAGGCTTCTGGATGGGCATCCGCATTCCAGCTAAGAGATATGTTCATCACATTATTGGTTTTTTGTGAGGTAACAGACCCTGGAAAGTTGTGGGAAAAATTCTGGCCAGAATTAGGAGAGCATATAGCTTACAAGATGCGCAAGAAGTTCAATTTTAATGAGTACAACTTGACTGATAAGGAAACCCATCAATATACCTTGCTACAATTACAGAAACTACTCATTGTGAAGGATAAATCGCTTGCCGATTTCCCAAGAGTTGCCTAAATTGGAGAGAAATATAATGCTCGAGTTTAGAAACTCCCTAATTATAGAGGAGCTGAACTACGACATTTATAAGGAAGAAAAAGAGCATGCAAAACTGCTACCCACTCTGAATTCAGACCAACAGTCCATATACAATTCAGTTTTGGATTCCATAAATAACTCGAAAAGGAAACTTTTCTTTGTCTACGGGCCTGGAGGAACGGGGAAAACATATGTCTACAGAACACTTATCTCCATATTACGATCTGAGCGAAGAATCGTATTACCAGTAGCTACTTCAGGCATTGCTGCAACACTATTACCTGGTAGTAGAACAGCACACTCTCGCTTCAAAATTCCCATTGATTTACATGAACATTCCATATGTGATATAAAGCCAAAAACGATGCTAGCTGAATTACTTGAAAAGACATCCTTAATAATCTGGGATGAAGCACCAATGGCACATCGTCACACTTTCGAAGCTCTTGGCCTACACTTAGAGATATCATAAGCAAAAAAGACCCATTAGCTACTGACAAAATATTTGGAGGAATCACAGTGTTGCTAGGCGGAGATTTCTGACAAATATTTCCAGTCATCCCACAAGGTAGTAGGCAAGATACTATTATGGCCACAATTGATAGGTCATATATTTGGGAGAAACTCAATGTATGCATTCTACATCAAAACATGCGATTAAAACCAGGAGAAAAAAGTTTTCAAGCTGGATTTTGAAAATAGGCGAC